GAGCGTGCCGAGCCCCAGCCGCCCTCGCGCCGCCTGCAAGGTCCTCGCAGAGGAGACGGGGACTAGCGGAGGGCACTAGGTCACCGCGAACGTAGCGCTCGCCGTTCCCTGACGAATCAGCTAAATCCTGGAGGCTTCACTTTCCTTCTCGCAGGCTCTGCGGCGGAGAGCCCTACGGGCAATAACTAACAACTATTTAAATACCATGGCTCTGAGGAGGCTCGAATGGGAACCAGATGCTTCTTCCTGGCTTTATTAAGCAGCCTCCCGTGCTTACTTCTACCCTTTCCTACTCAATAGGGTCTCAGAGCAGGGTGGTTAGGAGGAGCAATGAAAAAAAACCAAGTGCCTTCAGGGAAGCGACAGCACCGTCCAGGACAGCCTGCCTCCTCCGTATTCCCGCGAGGTGCCACAGCGACTCTACGGAACACCAAATACTGTTATTCCCTTCCCTTTACGGACAAAGCCTCTTGTCAACATTACCGTGTTTCTCAAAGATCTTACATACGCAAGACTGCATACAATTTTTTTTTTTTTTTAAACACACCAATGAAAAATGCCAGAATGAAGGGTAAAATTACTGCCATTTCCACAAGACGCAGCTATATGCAGAGGACTTGCAGTAGCGTCTTGTCTGCGTAAAGCAGTCTTTCCTCAAGCACATACATGGAGCGAGCTGATAGCTGAAACTACTCTGAAACAAGTAGGAAAACAAGGCTAGCTCTGTCACCAGAATGACTCCATTTTAAAAATGTATTTATTTTAATATATGAAAATAATCACTTGCATTCCTGGGATAGGGAAGGGGGGGAGGGGGGAGGAGGACGCAATTTAACATTCCTCATTTTCAGTGGGAGAGATCAACTTGGCCAGTAGAAAAGAAAACACCTCCTTTCCTTCCCCCACTCCCAACCTTCCACCCCAGATGACAGGAGCCGCCTGGGCTGAATTGCTTCCAGATGTTGCTTTCAGACTGAGCACGCGGCCAGGCCTCTTGAGCTTTAAGCTGGATGGAAACGGTGATTTTGCATTCCTCCCTCCCCCATCAGTCCTGCCCTGAAAATTAAACCATGCCACAGCTTTCTAGGTTCAGCTGCAAGTGACCCCACCTCTGAAGCAAAGTCACTCAAAATAGGCAGGAGAACGTCAACGGAAGAGAGAGAGGGAGACAGAGAGAGAGAGAGAGAGAGAGAAGGTAAAAAAAAAAAAAAAAAAGTTAAATGTAAGCATTAGCAGTAGGTGGTGCATCAGTTCCTTGTCTTTTAAAAGGAAATGGTGGCAGCTACCATATCAGAACATCCAAAAAAAATCTCTGTGAAGCCTTGCCCTTCAAGATAAGGGAGTACAGGTTTGACCTTGTACCAGCTTGCCTCCCCTCTTCCCCCCCAAGTTGGTGGGTCTCCAGAGATACCAGCGCCATCCTCTCTTTCACAATATAGCTTCTGAAAGTCTGGGCCAGATGCTTGAATCCAGCATTAGACAACACCGAACGCATATGACTGTAGTATACTAATCAGAAAATAAACATGCATCCATTCTTTTTCTCCTCAGAGGTATTTATCATACCAGTAATCTTCAGTGTTTCCACCTCTGCTATAGACTGGACCCTCCAGCTCCCTTGGCCCTGGGAAGATGTTCTCATGTTGGATAATGATCGTTTTGATCAACTCATTGACATGAGCCTGGCAAGAGACTTGATCGTGACCTTCAGGCACGGACATCAGTGTTGGCCCAAAGCAGATGGCTAAATTGTACGGATCCATCATATTCTCTTCACTGAACTGAGATAAACTGCAAAAGACAGAAGCGGGAAAGAGGGTTAACAGGCAGAAAACAGCATCATCGTCTCCTGCTGGAGAAAAGACAGCCGAATTAGAAAGGTTCGGTTTGGGTTTTCTGCTCTTTAGAGCTGATCTGCTAGGACACGAATGTTTTGGGTGCGTTTAAAAAGTGAGAGACTGATGGCACTTACTGAGAACAACTCTCAGAGTCTGGTAACTCAGTCCAACTAGGCTGATGTTAACTGGGTTCGCTGGCTGCAATCTGGAAAGTTTGCTGACACGCTGATTTCTTTATTGCATGTCCAAGATGCTTTCTATTTTCCATACAATTTTCTCCTTAACTAGCATGAACAACACTGAAGGAAAAACGTCACTAGACTTCTCCCCCTCTGAATAGGTTTATTCTTGACATAAACAAATCACTGGCAATAAAAGCCAGCCTGTCTGCAAATCACTCTGTGCACCCCACTCTGAAAGCACGCTGCCCATTTAGCCAAGAGGCCAGCGCAAACCTGACAGCCACCCCGGCTCCGCGGATCAGAGCATGGCACTGCGCACAGCAAGGAGCTTGGCAGCTGGGAGATCCCTCTGCTTGTTTCTCGTTGTGCCCTCTGTCAGGCCAATCTCTTCCTGCTCCCAAAGGATAGAGCCCAATCCAGTATTCAGTACATGGGGGAAACACCAGCATTTTCAGTAAAAGCCACAGTGACGCGGTGAAAGCAGCTGAAGTCTCCCAACCAGACCAGGCAGAAACCAGGAACGAGCTGAAGCTGTAGCTTCTACAAAAAAATTGTTTCCCAAACTCTCTGCAAATCAAGTAAAGAGTATTTCTCGAAAGGGAACTTCTATCTGGCTACAAAGCAGGAAGGTTAATCTAGTCTAGAAGCTCAACGCTCCAGTACTATATTAGAGTCACAGCTGAGAATAGGAGAGAAGTGCTATTTTATCTAGGGAGCTTTAAGTCCCTGGAGACAGAGGTACAAGAAATGGCAAGATGTTCCATTTTCCTGGGTAAACTATTTATAGTAGAAACCTCAAATTGTAGCACAAGCCATTAAATCCATCACAAGGAAGAGGATGAGACAACAAACTTCCACACTGCCAAAATGCGATTAAGAAAAAGGAACTTTGTTTAGTTTTCCCTTGAGTTCAGATCCAAAATATGAGAGGCTGACTGTATTTTTAATCACAGCTTCCACTAATCATGGGACAGACAGAGTTTGCATAGAAATGCTATCTAGTCATCAGCAACCATGGCTGATTTTCTATTATCTTATTTTAAACTTACTATTTCTGGTAGCTTAGGCGATGACTAAAAGTAGGTTGGAAAATACAGTTCTAAATCTAATCTTCCCTTGTGTTTGAAGGTATCCTGACCTGGAAGTTTATCTGACAGTTTTAAGAGGGCTGGCCACAACTGAAATTCAGGGTATTTTGATCCCAGCCTTGCTCAAAGCCCTGTTTATAGTTTAACCTCTCTCTATAGGTTTAAAATATTCCCTAATGCAGTCTCTCTCTTTTTTTTTTTTTGTTCTTGCTTTAAGATGAACGTGATGAAGAAAATCAGCATCACATTTACACTCATTTATACTCAGCGCTACCAACCTCAACAGGGAGCAAAGACTGTTTAAATCCTGCTATGCTTCTCGCTAGGATGTTTTTCCTTTATGCTATCCGCAGGCGTCAAGACCACACTACTGGAAGAAGCTATTGACTTCTTGCTGTCAAAGTGCCTGACGAATCAGCCAGATGTAGTGAGGTGTTTAAAAATACAATAAACTCTCTCTGCATCACTCTCACCACTCAGTATACGCTACTCCTTGCTGGTGTGGGATCCAGCTTCCAATCCGCTCGTATCATTTTTTGCCTGAATTACCAGCAAATTATTCATTTTCATTTATGGAGCTCCACTGAGATTGCAGTGCTACCATCAGGATAAATTTCAGCAAGGCTCAAAAGCCCAGCAAAACAGATGCAAGAGTAGGCTACAGTGACATCTGCACCTTGGCCTGTTGCTCAGATCACATGCAGCAATGTTAAGGCTGGTTCTGTCATTCATCTCATTTATACCAAGTATTACAGCAGGACCACAGTGCTCTCAGGGATACTCACTGATTGAGGAATGCAAAGAGGTATCTCATTACAATCAGAGTGGTCTTAGGCAAGTTCAGAAGGACTTTCCGGATGTGGAGCGCTCTCTCTTGTAAATTATCCATTGCTGAAAGGCAGAAAGAGCACCAGAGTTTTTAAGATCACTATTATCCACAATTTGCCACTGAGTCCAAATACAACCAGTACGCTGTGATGGCCCCTGTGCAAACTATTAAAAGGGGAAGGCAGCACAAGGAAGGAAGGGTCTGCCCCTTTCCTGGATTCCCCAGCCGGCCCCAATGTGGGAGCGCGCAGGCTGCGAAGCCTTTGGCAATGAAGGTTCGTAACATGTGAAACTCTTAGCTGCAAGCTCCTTCCTAGCGTGGGAGCACTGGATGTCATCTGTTTCAATAGTTCTGACACAATAGCTCATTCAAGTTAGCTTAGAAAGGTGGGTGTTTAAAGAAAAAATTGCATAAGACTCAAAGGCAGATTAACATAGTTAAAGGGTAAGGCAAAAAGCTCTGTGTGCAGCAGCCTACTGAGAAATAAGTGGGCAGCATAAATCATCTCAGAAGAGAGAAGTTATTTGGAAGCAGATTTTTCTTTTCATATAATGCGAATTGACGTCTGCAAATGCATTTATCAGGAGAAGGAAACCACGAATCATATTAGAAGCAGTTATCTTCTGCTTCACTTCAAAGGCTGCCACTGCAAGGGACAATGAAATCATTCTTTGATTCAGAGCGACGCAGCAACAGCCAAGGCCATTTAAGTTGTCCAAGTACAAATACAAAAAAAACAAACCCCTGCCCACCAAAACCACCTTTAGAAACAGAGATGTTAACAACTGCACCGTGATTGCCCTCGTGTTTGATATCCTGTAACAAGAGTCAATAAAGGGCCTCTCATGCCGATGAAGTTAAAAGGCATATAATTACTACCTTGCTGGCTAAACAGAGCATGCAAGAGGATGGCAGTAAATATACAGGCAGTATATCTATTAACATTGGGGAAAGCACATGGGGCAAGAAAACCCTGCATGCTTCTGAGATGACATTTCTGGCACCTTCTGAACAGAGAGGTCTTAACAAGATTATTTTTCAGAAGGGAAGGCGTTTTGTTTTATTCTTTTAGCACAGAATCCCATCATGAAGCACTGTCTCAGAAAAAAATCTATTCATTTCTATCTTCTTGCTCATTTATAAAAGATTGCTACAAAAATAATGAATGATGCAACCAGGTAACAGCCTTGACTCTAGCTGAAACATATGGCCTAACAGAGACTAGGATAGCAGTGCAACACAAAGCTTAAATAACCATAAACAGATTATTTTGGATAAAGAAAAGGGCGAGGGGAGACAGGTGAGAGACAAGGCTGAAAAAATTCATCCAATTCCTTTTCAGATCTTTGTATACTTACTGACACAGGCAATCAGATCATGAAAGATATCCTTGGGGAAGAGGGGGTGCTCCAGTCCTCGAAAATAGAGCTTCAAAACACCTGCTATTGAATCCATGTCATGGTCATTCTGGTCCCCAGCCAACGGATCTTCCCCTTCGTTACAAGCAAAGAAAAGCAGTTAAAAAAAAATCGGAATACTGGAGAAAAGAATCAGGCTGGAAGACTGTAACTCAGCTGTAGGAAAGGATTTATGCAGCACAAAGTTAATCCCACCTACTTCAACTAGACTAAAACCAATGCGAGGTGGTGAGAGAGCTCCCCTGTGGATAGCAGTGGAGAAGGGAAGCCTCTGACAGCAATCCCTGGAAACCTGGGACGGCTCTCACATTGGCGTCCGACCCTGGAACACCCAGCTCCCACCCATAATAGAGTGGCATTGCTGTGCTAGCATTTAAAAGCTCTTTATTCCAGATTTAGGTAGGGGGTGAATTTGAGACCCACCACTGAGGGAAACATTACACAAGCCTGGGAGCACATCTTTATGCAAATTCACAATTGAAGCTAGGCTTGGATTCAGCACATAGGCAATGGGCATCTTTACCAGGCTCAGCAAGATACAGGCAGCTTGTGTTGAATTTTGGGGGGGGAAGATTTCTCAGACATAAGATTTGTCACTGTAGATGTGTCACAGTTTGTCTGTGTTACAAAAGAAAAGATGCCCGCTTAAGGAGTTGTTCCCTATGGAAAACTCCCTATCAGATATAATTAGATTTAATGATGGGGCAAACCTCAAAATGAAGTTATATATATCCATTATGTGACTGAAATTACCAAAGCTTGCCTATTATCTTAATAATACACAGGATAATAAATGGGCCACTGCAAACCAGAGCGTTATCCTTGATATTAACTGCCACCAAGGGTTCTGGGTGAAGTAATAAACTGCAGAGACATTATTGTTAACTTTGTCAGTTCTGTATATCATGTGCTTTAGAGAGACAAATGAGATGAAGATTTAAAAAAAAAAAAAAAACAACAAACACACACACACCACACAACTTTTTTCTGCATGTTAGTGCAGGAACAACCAGCTATTTTCTCAGGATGTCTGGTATTGTCATTTATGTTTTAAAAAGGGCCTTTGAGGCCGATATCAAGCCTTTCACCTGCAGCTTGTCATACAGATTCCTGCTTCCCCTGTTCTTGAGGATTTTAATTCTCAGGTAGACAGAAAGACGACAAGGGAAATTAGATGCCATATTTCACAAACATTGTACACTAAACTCCTTTTTTCCCCAACAGCAAAATGAGCTTGCTGTGCCTAATTCATTACTGCTTGTCTCTCCAACAGCAAGCATAAAACCATACTAAACGTGTTCTTTTGGAATGACACACGTTCAGAGAATTAACATGAGCCCTGTCGTTTTCAGTGACCCAAGCCACACTGGGGAGACAGGCTGCAAGGCTCAACTGAAGAGCAAGCTCTCCTGAACCCCAGCAGACCAGCCCAGCTAGAAGCTCATGAGCGTGAAGGCCCCAAGCAGGTCTTTGGCTTTGTTCGGAAACAGAAATGATTCTTCACATAGAAGAATCAAATCTATTACAAGCTATGGCAAGCGAACAGTGACTTGAAATTTACTCTCTCACTTGGTCATACTGAGAACAAGCATAGCCACGCTGTGTCTCAAGAACATGAGATACACAAAAGCTCATCCTCTAGCAGACAGGTCTAGTCACAAAGAGTAGGGAGAAAAAAAAAAGGACAACGTAGTTACACCCAGTAATGAAATTCTCTGAATCTTTTAGCGTTGCAAATAATCATTAAACTATTGGACTTGAAAAATGACTGAATTCTGAATGTTTATTCAACGGACACACAACAAGGCATAAAGTATAATGCCTTGCATATTCAACATTAATGAGCGCTAGAGAAGTGTTCTGGCTATAGTCACTTATGAAGCTGGAAAAAATTAAAAACAGAATATAGTAAGTTGCATTCAACACAAGCTATTTTGGAACAGTCATTTTAATCAATTAATACATTTGGCAAAAATGTTGAGATACTAGAATAGATCCTCCTTACCTCTCTCAAATGCATTTTTTATATCGTTCACTTCAACTTGTGACCCAGACACTCTGAATATTCCTTCATGCTGCAACCCTGTAAGACAGTAAGAGACACTGATAACAACAGACATGAGCTAAGTTGGGACCTTCATCAAGTACAGCATGATGAAGGAAACATAAGCAACACAGGCAAAGTATCCTCTTTTAAAAGCCATCTTCCCTTAAATGTCCAGGCACGGACAGAATGTGGAAAAACAGAACTCTGGCGCCACTGAGAAAAAGTATTAACCCCTCCTAGGATGCTGACAGTATAGTCTGGGTTATAACATCCATGCATTTTATCTTTTACCCTGAAGGTTCCCAAAGGATTTTCTAACCCAGAGGAAGTCATGAACTAACGGTATACCAGCCAGAAGTAAAATATGGCTAACTACATAGTAAAACAGTTTATTTTTCAAGAGCAATACTGAAAAGGCCTAGAGCAAATTAGCCAACTGAAACTGAAGCATTTAATTATCCTAAAAAGCCTTGATATCTAGGATTCTAGGATAGCCTTTAAGACATCCCTAGGAAATAGCGAGCATTAACAAAATCATTAAAATCAGTTATCAAGCAGGTGAGATACTCTAATAAACTGCCATCATAATTTTGTTGGTACATGAATCAACACTCACTTAAGCCTTGATTATAAAGGAACACAAAAATTGCAATAAACCTATAAAGTGTTTTACAGCACTCAAGACTATGAAGTTAACCTTACAAACATCTATAAGTCATCTCATTGCTGCAATAAGCAAGCAATTAAATCACTACTTGACCTCCCAAGTTCAAACACTTGGAGCATTCCCCCTCTCTAGGAAAAGCACAGTTATTATTGATGTAGACCATATTTCAGGCCTCAAAGCGAGGTGATTGGAGGCAGGTGAGGAACGAGTGGTGTTTAAGGATGGGAACCTTCATGAGAAGCAAAAGGGATGCTATTGGAAGCACAACTTGGTGCTCCACTTGCCACATCAGGGGTCTGTGGTAAGGATTTGGAAAGACAATCGATCGTATGCACACTACCACCAACACGGCCAAAGAGTCAGAGCCCATTTCTCTATATCGCACTGTAGGAGGCTGCTGCACAGGAAAACTGCCCAGGCTACTCTGAACATTTGCAGGAGGCTTTTACACCACTGTTCACGTGACAGAAATATAGGATGCATTTTTTTTTTTTTTTTTTTTTAGGCTATAAACTCACCATGTCTGCTAATGAATCGTATGCAGCTCTCCACTACCAGGGGAATGGCTTGGGTAGAATCCTGAGCAGAGAAAAGAATAACAAAAAAGTAGTCAAAATGCAGAGCTGATGGCAAAAAGACATCAAAACACATGGCTGGGAAATACATATTCCAATGCTACAGAGCAGTATCTCACCAGCAACTGGGGTGGGGGTGGCAGGGGTTCATTGCACGTGCACAGCGGCACTGATCAGTTTGGGATATACAGCACTGTCTGCTGCAGACAGAAGGGAAGTCACCTTCACCTCAACTTCCCACCCCAAACTACCTAAAAACAAACAGAATTACATGCAATAGACTAAGTCATAGAAATAAGATTAGAAATTCTCATTTGGACTCATTACAATGACTGGTGACGAATGTAAGCCTCCTCCAGGACTCCAAAAGTCCAGAGCAGAACGCGCTAAGTGTGGTCGGCTTGCTAAAATCTTCTAACTACTGCTACTGCAGATGTTAACTTTGCTTTTTATAATCTCCATCCTCCTCACGTTCAAAGCTGCTGCAGAAGGGTAAAAAGGAAGAAATGAAGGAGAAAAAGAAAAAAAAGAGAGAAAGAGGGGACAAAACTGCTTTAACAAACTCCTGACGTCAAATAGCGTATCAGTGCCATACGGTCCCAATCCATGCAGTAAGGTGCACCATACAGATGCCTGCTCCCAGCAACAGTCTGTCTTCGGTCCAAGGCCCAAATACAGTAAAACCTCCTAGATTGCCAGCTTCCAGTTTAAACAATCTTAATTGAGACTTTCAGTGCGGAAACAACCCTTTACACTTCTTCAGTTACTCCTTCCCAGGATCACAGAACACTTTTCAGATGATTAAACTTCTGCAGTATCTAAAGGAGAGGAATTATTGCTCCCATTTTGGGCAACAGCAACTAAGCCACAGAAGCTCCGCAGTTTGCTTAAGATCAGATGCCAGTGATTAATATTTCTCTGTGATTAAAATTTCCATGTTTCTGTTTACATATAGCATCTTTGCTAGCAGCTTTGGACAAGAATGACTCTAAATTATATCTAAATGCTCGCTTGTTAGGATGCTATTGTATCACATTTCAATTGGTCCTTGCTCTTGAGAATGACATAAGGATGACAGTCCTCTGCTCAAAAACATAAAATTCAGTTCAATCATTTGTTTAGGTTTGATGATTTTTTGTTTTAATGAAATGTCATAGAATTTGCTCATGAAGTCACAATTAATAATTTCTCTCCTAATTAGCCATGGCCAGCGAAGAACTAGTTTTCTACACGCTGTAAAGTATGACACTAACCAATTAAGAATCCTTCAGAAGCCAGGGAAATCTGCAGCTCAATTGGCCCCTGAGGATATGCTTTATTAATAACCATCCAAACAGCATTATAAAGCCCCTGACTTATTCTAGAGTTTGACACGAGGAATTCACAGAGAAGCACACGGTCTGGGTTCCCAGAAGAGATTAAAACTCTCAGAGCAGTTATGTTTTAAACGGTTAGGTCACACTCAAAAAAACCCAATGCGAGTGATTTCATGTAGGAGTGATTTTACTGAGAGCTGCAGAGAGATTCAGTTTTTGCAAACAGGTTAGTTTCTAATTTAAGTTTCCAAATCACAGGGACTAGTATGTCTGTTCTACTCAAGGCAGAGTATGCTTGTGAGACACCTCAAAAGCTACTTGGGAAACCGGCAAACGGGCACATGCTTCATTTGCTGTATAAGAAGGGAATGTTTTTGGAGCATAAATAAAGCCACAACAATTGAGCTCAGAAAAACACCTCTGCATATGATAGGAAATGCAAGTTTTCTACACATACAGCTAGATAACAATGAGTCGTATCACTTTCACAGACGAGAAAACCTAACAAAGCACATTTCTGCAAGGTCCTCCTCCCTCCCTGCATAGCTGCTCTTTTTTAACTGAGGTTCAGCGCGCAGCCTCAGGACCACAAGGAGAAAAAGAATTCTCCAGAGGCAACATGAAAACTGGGTTTCCCAAAACATCGCATTTTATTTTATGTGTAACGTATGTTTATTGCTCAAAACACAGCCAGGCTCAAGTATTTTTGCCAGCCAACTCAAATGCCAGCAAAGCTGTAAAGCACACGGTTAGCCTTCCCTGCAGGCCTTACTACAACACTGCCTCCAGAACAGGAAACACAACTTGTTCTCTTACTATTGCTACTTTCTAATATACACAGATCTTAAAAACTACAAAGCAGAAACCAAAGAGCCTATAAGAAATGAAACTCCAAGCTAAATTTTTTCTTTACAGTATGCAGAAGAAATTTAATTTTGCTGCTTCTTTATCTGAAAGGGACATGTTTTAGGTACTAGAAAGTAACAGATTATCCAGTATGGCCAGCAAAAATAAATAAATAAATAAAGCACTGCTGGTGTTAGCCTTTATTACAGGAAGGCACAGCAAGCGGTTACAAGTTTAAAAGCATTCCAAAGGGACACAAGCAAAAATAAAGGGAGAGGGGAGAGTGACATACAACAGCACGAAGCCCATAAACCATGACTGTCTGTCTGAGAACTTTCAGTGTTATTACATGTGCAGAGCGCAGCCAGGAGGAGCAGCTGGGGGACAAAGCAGTCAAATATATTCATCCAGAGAGTAACATATAAACATCATGGGCAAAAGGAAGAAATAAAATTAACTGAAGTCCAAAACAAGCTTTAGCAAGAGCCCTATTAAATCTGCATTTGAGAGCCCTCACTGTACAGAGCTCGGAAGCAAGGCCACGGAGCAATTCCCACAAGTGATGATATACGTCAAGGGTACAAAACCGACCACATGGCTAGAACGGCCAGCGGCAGTTTGCCGTTGTGTGTTCTGCTTCTGGTTCTACCGGGCTACTACATCTGCAGAAAGGGATGGTGCTGATCTATCCCACAAGATGGAAGATTCATTACTGCTTGTACGGTCCTTTGAGAGCCACAAAAAAAGATTCACAGAAACGCAAGTCCTATTGTACGTGGAAAGCAGCAAGTGCATTCAATACAGGAGTGTAAGACAAGCCACCGAGCACAGCTGTTCAGAGGCAAGGGAGACCTCTGCTCCGAGTTCTCCTACCACTGATGGCAAAAAATCTAGAGGCCTAGCCTAGAGTGAAAAATGAGCTGAACATTACAAAACACAAAAGTTTATTTCTATTCTTCAAAAATGCTGTCAATTTTACGAGGCCAGCATTATTTCCGAATGACCAGAAGACTCTGAACACCTCGATTAACATCTGCCTTGAAGAGCTTATAGTCTAAGCCAACAGACAGCTCAACGTGTGTTTTTTTTTTTTTCCCCTCAGTATTTTCAGTGCCAGGTCTCAAAATACAGAGGATAAAATTATTTTTGTCTAAGAAAATGAATTAAAGCTATAGACCCATGTTTTAGTGATTTCAGTTACTGAATTACAAGACACTAGTTTGGTTTAAATAAGAATGGAAATGTCCACATAAGAGAGAGAAGGGAGGATAAAAACACTTTCCTGCTTTCCATCCCTCCTCATCTACCCACAAACACACACACATCCCCATTTTATCACTCAAGGAAACGTTTATTACCTGCTTCCTTATAGTGGAGCTGCGTCTGCCACTGATCAGATGATCCGAACCACCCATTCGTGTAGGAGGAAAAAACAGAGAGAACAGAAAAGTCAAGATAATCCTCTATCATCACAGATCTTGTTCATTTGCTATTCCAAACTATACTTATTTTGGAGAAGGGAAGGAGCCAGATATACAAGTCAATCATAATGACTTAGTCTCATTCAATTTATGGAACTTCAGAAAAATCCTAAGTGACTTTAAATCACTAAAACCCTGAAAAAGGAACAAGGGAGCCTACTGCTTTGACAAAAGATTGCCCTTGACATTTTAATTCCAACCGTATGGAAATCTATTATACAAGGCTCCTCATTCGAGGTGAAGTTTGATATAAATTGCAGATAGCACTTCTCCAAAGGAGTCATTCTGCAGAGGGGGAGAAGCAAGTGGGAGCATGCTGCTTTCCCACTGTGCTGTTAACAACTGTCAGTGTGGATTCTTTATTATAGTTTCTGATAGACATTAAAAGAAAAAAAGCAGCAAACTGGAACACCACCACACACTAGCCAGACTGAGCCATTTCAGTTTAAACCATGATTAGCAGTGGTCTCATTTCAAATGGTGGTAGACATTAATTGCAGAAAAAAGGAAAAAGCCTTCCTTTGCCAGGATTTTTCCCTCAAATTTATTACTGAGGTTTAAAATTCCTATAGTTCCTCCTAAACTGAAGCAGGAGAGATAATGGTAGAAAAGCCTAATGTATCATTCGAGCCAATTCCCTGCTAGTGCAGATGGCTGCTGAATTATAAATAAGGTGATTAGAACTGTGATTTTTAAAAAGACAGTACAATGTGTTAGTTCAGCAGAAATTCATTTAAAAAAAGCAAAGCACTGAATTCCATCAGATTCCATGGGCTGTCACAGGTAATAAGGTCTATTTTAAACTATTAGCAATGATGGTTCTTTGATATTTAAAGTTGTTTCATGATGAATAATATTTTATTATTACAGATGTCAGACTCTAATTAGGACCTGTCAGCTTTGCTTTGCTGTAAGGAACGCGAAAAGAAGTAATGATTCCCGATCGGTAGCAATCACCTTCCTTTTATTAAAAAGGCAGGATGATGCACGGTCCCCACTCCAGCTCCTTGTGCCCTTTGAATCCATCAATTTGGAGATGGAGATGTGTTATGTTTTATAAAAACCTCATCAAAAGAAGCTTACTTATAGCTCTGTGATTGGTACTAATCATAAATGGAAATTTTATCCTCCACGACTTCTAAATTGCTGCAATCCAGCTCCATGTCAGACCAGAGAGGGTCAACAGGGCAAAGGGAAAGAAAAGCTCCCTGGGCACCAGCTATGGTACTCAGTCCCTCAACAAAAACAACGTGGATAAATCCTGCAGAGTCACTTGGCCCGTCTCTGTTGCAGAGAGAGAGATGTGTTTATTAAAATTTTAGTCTGAAGAATACTTCTCTGGATGACAGCGCCAACTTCCACAGCTCCTCACGCTTGCCTGCCCCCTTCTCCCCATACTCACTCCTCATTCCAGCCTGTTTGAGGAACTGACCTAGATTAAAAGCAGCGGGGGCAAGGAAAAGTACAAGATACCTGTGTACTTTTATTTTCTTCCTAAACATTGGGTTATTTTTAAACCCAAATCAGTGTCCCAATCTGTTTTAACATGCAGCCCTACCATACTGGTCGGTACTGCCATAGCTGAGAGGCAGCACAGGGTGGCAACAACAAATGAGATTTTGGAGCAGGCACATCATCAAACAAAATAACCGTTACTCAGCCGACCAGAGGTTAAACTGATTTATGAATATCACCTTGCACTGACGCAGATAACAGCCATGATACTTAATGCCATATTAACTAGCAGGAATTTGCTTATGTATTAGCCAAATGAATCTCCTTTTCTAATGGACACATATCCTGGGCTGGTAACCGATCCCGTTTGGCGGTGACCAGTTTGTAGCAAATTTTCCTTAAAAAATGATTCTCCAAGCCACACCTACCTGGCAAGGGAGCAGTCAGTCCTTTGACCTGTTGGGAAGACAAAGAAATATAGCATTAGGGTAAAAGCATGGGAAAATACCTTTGATGGATGCACAGACCCAGTTTTAGAAAGGAGGGAACAATCCGAGAGGGAGGGGAGCAGCTGAAGAGCTGCATCATGCCGGCTTCCCGCTAGGCCTGTGGCTGCGCGGAGCGTCCCTGCTGGCACGGCTCCGTGGTGGCTGACCAGGAAACGCAGAAAACAGCTGGGGCTGCCTGAGGACTCTTTCTTTGGAAAGTATTGTTTTTGGAAATTGGTTCCCTGTGCATTCTAATTGTTGACTTCTACTGCCAAAAAACTAGGCTTGTCAACCTCTCGCTCCCTCCTCCTTCCCAGGGGAATTGGTAGGGAGCGAGATTATACTTTATAAAGCCACTTAGCAAGACTGAAAACATTCATGAATTTGTTAACCCACAGCCTGAACATGCTAGCATTAAGCTATTTTGGGAGACAGAGGTTTAATGATATTTTCCACAAACATTTGTAAGAGCGCTCCATTAACTTGCATTGAGTTTGCAAGGAAGCAGCCAAGCTAGTGACTACTGCTAACACAGCCATCGTTTTAGAACAGCACGGCAAGGAGTAAGAAAGACAGAAAACTAGCGTGTGCCTTTGGGAATTTTACAGGCCAGATCTTTTGCTAGCACAGATCATTATCAGTGAAACCACACTGATTTACACCAGCTGAAAATTCACCTTCCCTACAATGTCTCCCTGCTCCTGGGGAGATGGAAGAATGAAGCAGGGAAGTGCCTAATTGCTGATGGCTGAGAATTAGTTGAACACATCTTGATAGCCACTTTCCTCTCCCCACGTAAAGCCAAAACGGTGCATGATTTGCATGAAAATGTTATTCTGAAGCAGAATTTCCAGCCATCTGTTTCACTTCCATCATGGAATATTCATATATATAAATTACATGACTGTAGCAAGATCAAGGGGCTCCCACATTACAGGGCCAAATGCGTACAGTAGGCAGGGACATAATTACTTGTAGGTAGGAAGACTTGCTGCTGTTTTTATTACTAGAAATTGTCCTCTTTAGATTAAGGTAATTTGCAAGAGGACTAATAAATGCCACCTAAGGAAAGGGCAAAGAAGAATAAAAAACGTCACAAAAACACGAGGTTTCCAGGGACTGAACATATGCAGCTGTATGTATCTTTTTCAGTAAAGCTTCTAAAAATGTTTCTGTGACTAGTGAAAGAAATTTTATTTGCCCTTATCCCAGTTAAGCGACATTTTATCAGTGGGCCTACACATGGACCAAGTGTGCACCCTTAATCTTCTAACTTAACTTTTGGAGACAAAACGTGCCTCACTTTCTCAGTTCCTTTTGATCTCACTGATGACAGAAATGATTTTTTTTTCAAAAATTTGTGGAGCTCACCCCGATTAACACTCGATCCCTTCACAAGAAGGGCTGAGAAAGCTTTGGTATTGCAAAGCAACTACAAAAAACAGAAGGAGCCTTTAAATCTACATAGCAATACAGAAATTGCATTAAACCTCCTCCTCTGTTGCCCCACCACAGCTTGAGATCAGTTCAAGGGGCAGGCAGGTTAAGAGGAAATAGGTCTCGGTATGCAGAGGTCAGCTATGATCCAGGAACGTGATTAGTCACAGGGGCAGCACGGGTGTCATTTGGAGATATTTAGAAGCAGAAGAAAAATACCCTAAGGATACAGATCTCTGGCTTCATCCATCCTTTTTATAGGGCAACTGAAGAGAGAAGGAACTTTAAACAATCAAGCACAAGACGATGACAAGCTTCTTTCCTTACCTTCTAGTGGCTCAAGTCTAATAAATATGCAATTCTTAATTACTGTAGTAATAAGTATTTTATTTTTATAGTACATTTTTAAACTGAAAGCAATGCACTTAAAAGCCCACAGGCTGTTTAAGTTTTCATTCAGAAGATTTGCACACCATAAGCTGTGTGGAGTCCAGTTAAGTTACTAAACAAAAAATGAGCCCTGCTGTAGCGGCGTATAAACCCAGGAACGAGTTGAGCCATTTTTTGACCTGACATTTAGATTGCTAAACCATCTCCTCTACAAATACTAGGCAGGCAGGTTTCTATGGAAACTTGGATGCATAGTTTAAGAAGCATGTTTGGCCAACAGGATTTGCCCATGCCATGAAGGGAAAGAAATCTCCCTTTGTTCAGGCACCAATAGCAAATGCATATTCAGTTCTGGCTGCTGCCCTTTGCCAAACGTCCTACAGACAGGCAACATATTTTACACGCTCCGAAATTTGTTTGTAATTCTCCTTACGTAAGCCCAAGCTCACATATATTAGCTTGGTCTGGATTGAACCCACAGAGGTCAGAAGCAGCTAATCTACCATGCAAATGAAACTTTCGACCAGCCTAATGAGGCAATACTTCTAAACAAATCAGTAACCTGTCAATCACAAGGTTCACCCTGATATAGATTATTAACTGAGAAGCAGAACATGCGTGCGGGGGGCAGGATGACTGAGTGGGCATATGCTTCATTTAAACAAATAAGCGATGCACATTAGTGACTCATTAAGCATTTGCCTTTCACCATTATTCAAGCAGCCATGTAGGTCACTTGGCTTCTCCCGCACACAGGTCAGAAAATAAATTCATAAAACATGAATACGTCCAGTTAGCGTCAGTAATCCAAGACAGTGCTATGCAGTCAGCCAATTCGGTAAACTGCGGTAGCCTGGCTAGCAGGGACCGAGGGTGCACACTCACTTTCTCCCAGGGTCTTCTGGAGAAGGTCGTGTTTGGCTTGGAGCTTCGTTATCAGGTTTCTGCCTTCCAGGTACTCTTTCATTTTCTGTGGAGGTGGGAAAAAAAAGCAATATGATGGGTGGACAAGTTATGGCTTTTTGATTGCATCCTTAGGCTGCTGGATTCTGAACATAACGCTGAAGTACAGAACTGCATTGACATTTACAGTGCAAAGGAGGCACTAAGCCCTCCTGGCTTGCACACGTATGTAAATCTGAAGCTCAGCCCACACCCCACGTATCTGCAGGGTAATTTCTATGGCTCCGCTCTGGAAGCCGGTGGACGTTGGGCATCTTTCAGACGTCCGAGGGGCTGTCGCACACCTCCTCTGCAGACAGGCCAGAATGGAAACGCCCTTCCCTCACGCGTCGCCCTCCACTGAAGGAACAATTTGTTTTAACAAACTAAAAGGCTGCTACTGTGGTTATTCTCTCACTTAACCTCTCTCACCCCACTTTACTTGTCAAATATTGTGTCTGCCTCCACTCTGGATGATACACAAGGAGAGTATGCGTGTGCGCACGCACAAAACAAATAAAGATATCATTTAAGTTCAGATATGGTCTCCCACTGAAATATTATATAATCATTTCTCCTACTTGTTTCCGATTTTTCCCAGCTCTGCAAATGCTATTTTTCACAACTCTTTCATCTCCTATTTTGGAGTTCAAAACAGCACTATTTATCTTCGCCGGGCCGCAGCATATAAAATACTCTGTTGTGCGGTAGCTGTCCGCATTATAATTAGGACATGTTTACACCCAGGAATACAGGAATAGCATGCAACTCTGCAACAGAGCAACTAACATGAACCATTCTTCAGAAACATAGGATAGTTTAAAAAAAAATTGAGCCAGGAAAAATGAACGCCAGCAAAGGATTCTCTCTTAATAATGAAAGACTCCAGTTCACATCTTCAGCTTCCCCCAGTTCTGTTCACCACCTTCCACCTCTGCTTTTGTATTGTCATATTAAGACTGTAAATCCTTAAGATAAAAATGATATTTTAACTATAAGAGCGCCCTGCTTATCTTGTGCAGACTGTAGCAATGGCAGCCTACACGTAAGACGAAAAGAACCAAGAAACACCGTGTACCTATACTATGACAGTACTGACAGCGGGGGAGACCTCCCAGGAGCTAACGAAGTGCTGCCAAGGCTCCCCAGCCGCTGGGCATACCAACAAGACAGACAAAAGTGGCTGAGCTGGGCTTTTAAAACAGACTTTTGGCAGTTAATTACATCCCTCTGCTTGACAAAACTGGAACAAAAAATTCACAAATATTTAAGTCCTTTCGGGGATTCTCGGCACTTCCCGATTCTTACAGGGCCAATACTTCAATTTTTCTTTGTTCTAGAAGAAAGCAGGAAGAGCGATCATTTTGACAAAAAGTGAAAAATTTAAGAGCTACGCATGTGTTTTTGGAATTTCCCTGCAGAATCTGTTTGCCAGTCCCCAGTTACATATTTTTCCTAAAGCAGTTACATTTTTGCATCAAATGGTTAACAGGAAAAAAAACAAAGAATGCAAGTTGCAAAGATAACCAGAGAGTTTCAAGCGGGGATATAAGGATAAGTCTGAGACAGGGCTCTACGTCTCCCAAAGGCAACAACAGGCAGACAGACAGAAGGACTACAAGGCTAATCTCAAAATAGCTCAAACAGAAGCTTAACGATCTGCAAATCAACTCGATTTGGAAGACAGCTAAGCTTCCTTTTGAAGCCAATATAAGGATTTAAGCTCAGTCTTTCTTGCATTACATCTATGTTCCCAATGTCCCTCCTCTTTTTAAAACTAAAGTCTGCTTCTAAAAGAAACCGGACTGATGACTGCTCCTGCAGAGAACACAGATTGTTCCCCCTTTCTAATGTTCATCCCAATCCTATTACGCAGAGGCATCGTGGCAAAACCCAGCAGAGCTGTTCGCACTCTGCCGAGAACCGCGTCGCGCCCCGGCTGCAAAGCTGTTCTGCACGCCCGTATTTCTCTCCCCTCCGCAGGGAGCACGGAGAAGACGCATCCCCGACACGGCTTATCCACCCTGCGGGCTCCCCGGCAGCGGGAGCGCCTTCTCCTGGCGCCCGGCGACGCTCCAGCCGGCTGCTCCGGCTTTGCTGCATTGAGACAGGCGCGTTAAGAGCATCACCTGCCCACAGAAGAGCACCGGGGACTGTTACTGGAAAGCGAAAGAGCAGGCTCCTCCCAAATACAGCATTTCACATGTTCTTTGCATTTCCTTCTGCCTCACATTATGTACCCTGACGCTTACCAGGACACTTATAAAAACAGAAGCGGTTTAAAAATAAGGCTGCAGGCTTTTCCCAATGAATTAACAAGATCCACTAGCATTTGATTTCTCGCTTAATATAAATAGCTGAAAATCAGTTCGGGAGAACTGCATGGGATTCATTTCTGGCTAAGTACAGCTGGACAGTTAGCCTAAGTACAGTCAGACACAGAGAGGGAGAAACATACTCAAGTCACATTATTTCACTCCGTAAAAGCCTCAGAGGTGATGATCCGTTGTTGGTGAGCACTTTGCACCTACCAGCTCCTCAAAACCATCCTGCTTTGACACCCTCTCCCAGTCCAAACCTCATTTCCGCGTTCTTCCAGCAAGAAACAACTGGCAGGTGGAATACCTAATGAAGCAAAATGCAAACCAGACCACATCTGCCTGCTTTGTGGGAAACGAGGTTTCTGTCACTGTCCCACATGCTTAACTGTCTCAAACCTGGCAGGCTCAGCAGTTTTGCTCCCTCCCCCAGGCCCCCCTCCACCCAAGACCGACTTCAAACAAGGCCCTCGATTCAGGGAGGCCCATTCCCAGGGTGCCGCGGGGAAACCGGAGCGCCGCTCCGCCGCGCTCCTGCTAGTGATTAAACGTGGGAACAGCGGCACATTGACAGAAGCAGCATGACACTGCTGTAAGATTGATTAGCAGGGGAATTTTATATGATACTTATCCATGTCTTAAGGGTTTGGTAATAACAAATTTACATTAATTTTTAAAGCACTTCACAGAACGAGCACTGTACCGGGTGTTATTCTTTCTGGAGGAAAGAAATAACATTACCATGAAGAACTAAAATTATCCCCTATTTCAGAGGCAGCAGAAAGGATCAAATCATTCATTCCCCTTCTCACGTCTGGGGTAGGGTAGAGTGCTGACTATATTACAATTAGCAGTACAGTTTCAGCACTGCCAGCCATCCTCACGGTAGCTTCAGATTTGCTGGCTCGGGAACTGGCGCAGCAGCTACAGCCGCCCAGACAGCGACCTGCCGGGCGCTGCAGTCACAGCCTCGATTTCCACCTCACCCAAGTCACTCCTGCTTCCTCCCTTTAGTTACCTGCACTAGCTGAGTGAAGTCAATCATCCTTCCTATGCTTTTGACTGACACAGGGAAGTTTAAGCTTCTACTCTGAATACACATCTTCCTTCAAAGGACTACTTGGCATAGGTATGCAATGATATACCTCTAGTAGAAACATAACTTATACTAGCATAAGGGTACTATAGTCAGCACTCCTTAAATTAAATTCCCACAACGGTATCACTATATTTACCTAGGAGCCCTGCCTAACTATCAATACAGTAAGTGGAACTTCCAACCTTTGTTACGCGGCAATATAGAATATTCTTTCAGATTAGCATTTCTCTTCCACTTCATACCCCTCGGCACAATTAGCCCGCCATATGGTAAGAGGGGATCTCAATCTCTATTCTGCACTGCACTATTTCTCTAAACGCATAAGCACTCGGGTTTTTTCCTGCAGTAAGAACGCCTTGCCCACGCCGCTACATGGCTTTGTCTCATTCTCATTAGTGCTCACCTGACCGTTTTCTCATAGGCGGAAATAATTGCTCCTTGTAGATTCAAAGCTTGAAGTTCTCATAAAGGATATTTATAGGTCTGCCCAATAGTAGATCAATCATGTATCTGATTAGGCTGGTCAAAGAAGCCCTTCATATATCAGTTCGTTCTGTTGATACTTATTTTATCCAGGTTGTATATGACATGACAAATAGCACCTCTGTTGGAGACGGCACTACAGTCCTGCTGTGACCTCCCTGGTCTGGCTGTGTGGGAGCAGGATATTAGCACTATGAAATGGAAAAACACTACACCCACGTAAAGTCATGAGCTTGGTCTCCTCTGTGTGTATTTGAACACATAACAGTCCAACTCTAGAGAGAGAATACTTACAGTTCAATTAAAAAATCATTTTTCTAGTTCCATAATCATGGGCAGGCTGGTCAATCCCTTCTTAACTGAATCAGTTTCCCTGCCCGCTTTTCTTGATAACCAGCTTCACCTTTTAAAGGCGGCTTTTTAATTTAATGAGTTATTTTAAGCTTTTTGAGCGCTTGTCCAAGGAAATGATAAACTCACTGATAAACTCATAATAAGGCAAGCCCTGACATAAACCATCCTGTCAGCCAGTGTAATTGGCATTGAAACATCACAATTTTAATAAGCACCACCACTCCTGGAACAGGAGCCTAAAGGACAGTAAGCATAGCAAAAGATGCCCAAGGGAATGTCAGAAAGTAGTCAGGATTAGAGGTATTATTTTCATCTACTTCTTGAAAGATTTTTAAAATAGAGAAGAATCCAACAGCTCAACATAAAACAAATCTAATTTAAGAAAAAAAAATGTACACTGGTATCAGAGTCAATCCAGAAAACTCTTAGCATCTTGTAAAAATGCATCAGTTCTATTAAAAACTTATTTGAAATTCTGAAGTTAAGAGGATAACAAAAAATGAAAGAACTAAATGCTCTTCTAGCTTATATTATTTTTGAAAATTTTATGTTTATGAGTTATTAAGTTTTCTCTCAGACATTTCCTTTTTAGGAAAGAAAAAGGAGGAGAAATTAAATTTTATTCAGTTTATCCACACATTTAAGTTTTCATCAATAGACAAACGTATCCCAATATATTTGAAAGGAATTCAAAGCACCTATTTTTAAAACCAGTATGCTAACTTTGCTCTTCCTAGATCAATTACAGATGCATTTTTGTAAGACGACAGCAACATTATGTGCTCCCTCGTAAACACAATTCTAATAGCATTATAAAAGTGTGTATTCCTAACAAAAAGTTATAGGATAAAAATATATAGGTATATTGTTCCCTAAAGCTTTGAATCATCTGAACACCCTGAAAGCTTAATTCCTCACCGTGAAATAGAACTGCTCTGTCTCCTGTTGGTTGGCGCGTCTCTTGGCAATGCTTGGTTTGCTCATGAAAGTTTCAGAGACAGTGGATTTAACAGATTCCATAGAGTTGCTGTACTGAAAACAGTCAGAGACATCAAAGTCCTCTATTGTGACTATATCCTGGATAGTCTGGAGAGTAGCTTCCATAGTCTTCTTAACCTGTCCAGCAAGAATAAGAGTGTTACAAAAAAATTGAAGATAATATGCTGCAGGTGAAAAGAGAGGCCATAAGCACCCCAGAACATTTAACAAAATAAACAGAGATGAGCGGTTTCATGTCCTGCGGGCCATGACCAGGCTACAAGCTCTGCTAATCAACAGAACACAGTTCATATAAGCAAAGGGTTAGCAGGACACTGAGCCAGCCAGCAGCATGAAAACAATTGTAATCTACAGGCTGGGGCGAGGAAAAGAAATAGGAAAATTTAACCTCAAATCAAAGAGTACTGGAGGAAAAATGATATACTCATCTTACTTCTGTAAGTACATTGACTGGGCATCAAACAAACGTTTGATTAAGAACAGGACTTTGCTGCTCTAAATTTTTACTGAAGGCCAGGATCAAAATTCTTGATGTATAAAGGGATTGCCAATTTTTCCCCAGAAGAAATTAAAAATTCCTGAATAGAGAGGTGCAGATTAGACATTTTGATCTGTTCTCAAACAAATGCCATTCATCTAGTGCTCTCATCCTAGATGACCGATTAAACAAAAACTAGCTCTTACCTTACGTTAGGCAAATCCAGTTTCTCTACTTCAAAACATTACACTGACTTGTTTTTTAGCTATCCAAATTCAACTTCTTGAAACATGATCAGCCCTATCAATTTAGGGTTGGGAAAAAGGATGTTTGCTCTTTTTTTTTTTTTTTTTTTTTTTCCCCAAGAGTCCTCTGCACACCCAGAGTTCACGTGAAATCGCAGTCAGATGCGACAGTACAGTAATGTACTTCTGGCCTCAGTTGCCTTCTTCCTGCATTTTACTGCAAGTCTTCCCATAATAGGATTACAGCAATTACATTCTTCTCAGTCCCCACTCCCCTTTGTAAATGGCAATAGGTTGTTGGTTTTGAGTAGCTCACCTCTTCATTTTCAATCTTAAGTGTAGATAATCTGGACTGCAACTGCTGGCACCTCTGCACTAATTCACTCTGGACTGGTTGCTGGGCACATAGCTGTGACTCCTGGAAGAAAACCAGCAGCATTCTTAGAGTGCTAGGAAAAATACAGACTCAAAACCAGCGCAATTACCTCATTACATTATTGCAAACACCCTCCAAAGTGCTTCATTTTAAAGCTTTAGAAGGCTTGGATTTTATTCAGTGAAAAGGCCTGCAATCTAGCCAGTTGCAGTCCACCTCCCGACTGTACTGAAAAGCGAGTGAAAAAAGGAAAGCGAGAACATGAACATCTCCAAGGAACTAGAAAAAACTAGCTCCCCAGTGACGTAAGCCTGTCATTTCTCTTTGGAAGTCTGAAGGTGCTTTATTACAGAGGTTAGGGAAAAATCAAGCCCTAAAACCTCAAGGAGATGAGCGGGCTTCCATCACATCAGAGAAGAATTTGGTTGCATCAGTCAGGCATCTGGGGCAGGGAGTATGATAGGCTTAGCTCACTCAGCTGAACTACCTGCACACTACAGCAGCAGGCAGGATTCACTACTTAATGAATTCATTGTGGAGTTTAAATAGAAAAAGACTAGGTTAGACACCTATCTAATAAGCTGGAACAGCACACTTCCCTGCACTGTTAAAAAAAAGTTAGTCATATTTCAGAGCATGAAGCAGCTTTTTCTTTTTTTCCCCCCCAAAGGAAAAATATTGACTGTAATGCATAAGACTAGTTTATAAAGCAAGAATTACAATTGAAGTTTTATTACAAACATGGGCATATACAGTCATATATTAAATCGCATATATGCGAGATGATTTCAGCAAGACTATAAGCTTGCATTTATAAACAATAATTCAGCCTTGAGAAGAACCAAGATAAGTTATTGCAGCAAAAATCTGAGCTGTTAACTGGGTGACAGTACAAAAAATAAAATTACCTTCAGACTATCTTATGGGATACTATCAAAGTTCAGGAAAACCATAAAAGGTTTATTTGTAACCTTTATTTTGTAACCTGAGAGTTTCACTTAAACAAAAGAACAGGCTGGTCGTGAGAGACCATTCTTCCAGTTTTTCTTCAGTGTTCAGGAGGATAATCTAGAAATCCAACCAATTGACCTAAATTATTGCATTGCACACGCATTCCCGTTTAGATTTGTAAGCTGCTTTCAGCTTGTGTAACTTTACGCAGTTTCCAGATGAGTAACCACAATCCAGATAAACCTATAAAGAGATAGACTTTCATTGCCAAAAATGAAAACCCTTTGACTGCTTTGTGTCACCATAAAAACGTACAAAGCATCACAAACCACTTGTGCTCTAAGATTACACAGTCAAATGCTTCATAAAACAGCATTCAATTCTTATCTTGTTCTTCCTTCTGAGGCAATTGTGGGGCTCTGGAAATCAGCTCGGGTAACAAAGATATAGCCTCCAATTATTGACTGCTTTTAATGCCTACATACAGGGAAGTTTTAAGTTTGGGTGCTACTGATAAAAATAGAAGAATAATAGCAGAAAAAAAAAATCACTTCTGTGAAACCATCACTCAATTTCTAAGGTTTCTTCAGATGCATCAGTTTGTATACAAAGACTCAAGAGACCAAGAGCTCTAAATCATTTGTACTCAAAGCAAAGGATGCGTGAAGAAGGCCTTTACATTGTAGCCACCAGAACTGATCGTCTTACTCTGCTGAGAGTCACATGATGTAATGCTAATTTAAATCTAGATGAAAAAACTCCATCTACCCATCAGGCTGAGTGACACCTTGAAAGAGAACAACCTGTTTGACCCACAGTGCCTTAATCCTTTGACTCAAGCAAGCCATCTTGTCTCATCTCAGGGAGAACAGCATCGGAGAAACTGAACAGCATGATGAACTGCTACTAGTGATATCACACATGCAAAACAAAAGCCGATTTCTGAAGCGTGGAATGAATCGATCTTTCAGATCTTGCTCCAAATCTCTAACTTCAGAGTCTGTTTCAGGGTGCAGGAGTTAACTGTGGCTTGAATAAGAGGTGAATTTAGTATTGTACCTAATCAAGCATTTTCATCTTTAGTGGCTTTGATAGTCCAAGTGAGAGTCAATTGCATCCAGATATCCATGGCAGGAGTCATTGCTTACTCTTCAAATCAGGTCCTTTTTCTAAGGCTTCCCTCAACCTTTGAAAAACCAGCGGCCTTTAAGTGGGTCCAGTTATCAAAGATGAGGGAAAAGAGCAGGTAAAACTGCAGCTAAAAATGTGGGAAGTTGCCATTTTCCTTAAAACCTACATACTGACTCCATGGGGAGAGACAATGCTCCTTTAAAGACTTGTCACCATTTTTTACCTGATGTATTAACTTCACCTTGCAAGTTAATGCACAATTTAAAAGAGCTCCAACCAGCAAGAAAGCTTATTTTGCTAAAAATATAATTCTATAAACATAACTAAACTGAAGAATGATTCCTACAAAGTGTTTACAGAGCTAGAGCTGAAGGAAGAATATAAACCGACCATATCACCCATATGGGGTTGAAACTCGAACTTCATGGGTGGACAGAAAACGTTGTTGTACATCTCCATCAGGCGCTGCTTATCGCTGTTGGCATCCAGGTTCTCAACAGCATTTTCGATGGCATCCAGACCCTCGTGCTTCGACTGTTCTAGGTTTAGCTCAGCAGACAAGAATGTCCTGAGCGCTCTGTTGAGGCTAGCATGGTATCCCAGGTCACAACACTGCTGGAAAAAGACACACAATTCTATATGAATAAGGGAAGAAACTCTGAAACTGAAATTACAATGTTTCTAAGGCTGTAAGACAATCAAACGGGTAGCAAGCCAGGGATACTTTATGATGTTCTAGGTACCACAGTGGTCTCTTATCTCTGACCACAAAGATACCTTGACTAGTGGTTTTCACAGCAAGTAGAACTAAGTCTACATTCACATACACGTTTCAACATCAGTGTTATAATTAGCTTCCGAGACAAGCACAGACAACTTAAATTGTTACAACAGATTGGGAAGTTGTCATGGGGTACTACAGATTTCATTCCATGCTGTTAAAAAACACCACCAACAAAAAAACCACTAACATATTTTACCCTAGAAGTGAGTAGGTCCAATGGCAAGAGAGCGGATATCTTCAAATTCTAACCTTACTTTCAGAGGCACTGATTCCCACTAAAAGCACTCTGAAATCCTTAAATAAAATTTTCCCAAATTATTCCAACTAAAAGGAAGACAATGCACTGAAGTACTATCTTGAGAAACAAGCCACAGGATTTGGATCACCTGCAAAGGTTAATCTGCATCTAAATTATTCCACCCAAGATGCAGAAAACTGCTTGATTTGATACACTATAGGAAGCAAGAATATGACCTGCACAATCATCAGCATAAAGAGGAGAGTTATCCAAAAAGCAAGTAGTGATTGGTTGAGATGACTTCACTGCTAGGGTGAAACAGAAGAGCAAAAAACTTTCAAGCAGAAGAAGGTCAAGGTCAAGAATTTCCTGGCTATTACTGACATTAAGATGATGTCACTGGAAGACAATCAAGCAGCTTCACCTCAACCGTGGCTGCACAGCCAAGTCATAATGTTTCATAAGGGAGAAAAGCACTTTTCATTAGCTGATCAGAAACAGCCTGAATTTTTCAGACATCTAATAAACTGAGCTAGAAAGAAGCCCACCTTCTTGGAATTACAAGCAAGATTACATATGCTAGGAGACTATCCAAAAAGAAAGAAAGAGACCATCTGCTTGATTGCTATGCTGCTCTGTAAGCAAAAAATCGCATGAAATCTCCTCCTCACCCATCATTTGGGTCTCATCACTGTCATTGTGAGTAAATGGAGGGAAAAAAAAAAAAAGATTGAGATAGAGAGGGATTGACTAGCGGCCCATTCCCCGCTTTTACAGGATTTCTGCCACGGAGTGTTGCTAGATGCCTGGCTCCTGTGCCAACAAGCTGCAGCAGGTGGGGAGTCTTGTAAAGGAGCAGCAGTTGCTGGTTAGACTGGAGGCAGAGAATGAAAGGACATTATATCCAATCAGAAAGAACAAAAACCAACCAAAAAACAAAAGATGCTTGATTGAGAATTTGCATGTGTTGAGACAGGCTTGGATAAACAGCCGTTCACAGCTACTGTTCTTTTTCCACGTACGTTATAATTCCAGTCCCTGCAACAATTTGGGGAAAGCCAGGCTGAGTTGGTCCAACAGCGCAGCCATGACTGGAATCCACTAAGACTTAACAGAAGCAGCCTCTCATTTTCCCCCTCGTACTATGGGCCAAAGCATCGCGCAGCCCACACACAGAGCAACGCGCTTGCCTTCCCTGCCGTTGCCTTCTTCCAACACATATCTGCATCTGAAAGGAAAACCGATGCGCTGCCCAAGAGGAGTTCACTGATGGGCCTGGAAAGTCAAATAAGACTTAATATTTTATAGCCCACCTCATTAAGCAGCAGGACTGCATTACAGCAGGAGAAAGAAAAAAAAAAAATTGCCATCTTTTTTCATTGAAGCCAGTGACAGAAAACATTTTTCAGCCCACTCCCCCACTTTAATACTTTTAAAAGTCCAGCACACCATATTTATAGAAGTATCAGTCTTGCCATCCCTTTTCTGGGTTATATAAATGTTTGATGGAGCCATTCTCCAAGGAAATCAATTTTTTATAAGAATTTAATGATAACTCATTCAAATTCACTTCCCAACATGACACCTGATTAACCCTTTGCCAGCTAGTGGTTTTTAAATAGGTCCAGCATAGAAGATTCAAGGAAAAAAGAGCCCTCTGTTTTCAAATGCAATTTACACTTGGAAAGGAAAGCATGAGATCTTGGAGTAAACAGCAGTAGTCTACTTATTCCTAGAATAGTAAAGTAAACTCTAGGACTGATGCACACACTTAAAAATTCTGTCCCAGTGACCCTTCCGTAAATATGAGGTCTTTGTTAATACAAACCTCTGCATTACTGTAATATTTCATTAGCAAGGAGCAGTCTCAGTCCCAAAAGCCAGGAAACTCAAGACCACTGAGCTATGTCAGGAACAATTTATCGTTCATAATTCACTAATAAGAATTAACTCACTGCTTTCCCACCACGGACATTGGAGGAGGAACACAACGCATTGGATTGACATGATGAATGTAATGCCATTTGACCTAATACAATGTATTTGTAAATAACTTTGAACGCTCCTTTTGTATTATGTTTCAAGATGCATTGTCAGCAAACAATTAGATCAAGGAAAAGAATTAAGATCTGACTTTAAAATTGCATTTAAGTCAGATGCCTCAGATAACCACTACTGGTTATTATTGCTAATTTTTAATCCTTCATATCATAGGCATAAGTCAGTCTCATTGTTATGACACAATAAATACAGACCACTGGATTCCATTTCTTAGGTGTTCCCAACTAAGTCCCACATCTTTCTAAGCTTTCTCAAAACAGAGTAGATAACACTTAATTTTTAAAGGATTTGAGAACTCCCAATCTAATGCTAAGTTAAATGCCTCAAGAAACACAAAAGGGTTAACACGGATATGGATGCACCCAGAGTCACGACGGCTACTGTCCAAGCACAGTGACAGCTCACTGTACGGCAGAAGCCTGGGTTTCTGTCCCGCTTACCGTGCCCCCAGAAAGGGGCAGAGAGATTTATTAAAATTATTTATTATTTAATAAATAATTAAAATTATTTATTTTTAAAGCAGGGAGATTTATTCCTCTTGTGAAATATGCTACAAGAAGCATTAACCTCAAAACGTACAGAATGTTTCAAGGCAAGTCAAAAGCAGCTTTGGAAAATGCTTCTGTCCTTGACTTCTTTTACCAACTGGTATACTGCTTTACAGTATCATTTTTCTTTTTTTTAAAAATGTGCTGAATTATAATCTTGAGGGTTTGCTTAAAACAGTACATAGAAAATGTCCAATAGTGATACTGAACCCGAGTTTCACTTTAACTAAGCACTTTTTCCTTCTACATGTTTCAACGCCAACTTTATTGTGCAAACATTATCTGTGTAACAGACTCCAAGCAAGCCAGCTAAGAAAAGCTCACTTAACAGCAAAATGGCTGATCATCACACCAGTTGTTACAGCCTGAACTGCCCATCAAGTATGATCAGTCTACTGCTGCTGAAGACGTTGCTGGTTGTCCGGGTACATAACATGTTGAAGAAAGAGAGGCACACATGAGAGTTAATGGCACTGATATTCACTGCAGGCACCCAAGCAGCAGCACTTACATCAATGAGATCAGACAGGTCATGAATGTAATACTTGAATACAGACGCGTTGGTGGCTTCCAGAGCCAACAGATACTCGTTTCTTGCCTTAATAGCCTTCAGTCTATTTTCTGTGTACTTAGCTTGGCGCTGAAAGAGAAACCAAAGACAGAATTTATTTTAAAAAGAGGCATGGAGGGGGGAGTAACACTGAACTGTATTCTGAATAATTCTTACTCTGCTCATATAATTCATTTATTTCATTTGGATGCTGGTTTTATCAAGATTCAAAGGCTTAAAGTTTAGATTAATTACCTAAAAGTGCTTAAGCGTTACTGTACAGCTTTAGTCCTCTCTGAAAACATACTACAGTGTTGGCAAAGAGTGAGGGAAGAATGAAGGAACGAGATGGGTTTATGAGGTTGTAAGGTGACTTGTAAGATGTAGTTTCAGTTAACCTCCACACCTTCAGCAACAACTGTAACTCTAAGCAGTGCCTGCCACTGAAACTCGCACAATTCAAGCCTAGCTCACAGTACAAATCTTAGCCCAACCATGGTAGTAAGTCCCAAAGCTAAACATGGCCATGTAGCCCAAAGTCAACACCAGCTCTACCCTTAGTTCATCTGTTTTTACTGGTCCTAGACTCTAGTTTATGGCTTCCTCATCTAAAATTTGCCTTTTTTTTTTTTTTTTTGAGTAGTCCCTTGTGCTACCAGGCCTGCCTCTTGTTCAGTCATTCCTGGCTCAAGCCCCAGCACTGTATACCAAGACCACATTAAGGAGAGAAGTCCTCAGTAGTTCCTGTGCTGAACTATCGCAAAGGTCTCCAATCTCCTCCTCAGGCACTCTACACAAGCAGCAGCAACGCTACGCACGTACCTTCTCCTTCATTTTCTCTATTTTCTTGACAGAGCTTCGTCGAACATGTTTTTCTTCAAACTTGACATTGGAAGTTGAGTCGGGAGAACGTGGTGTCTGCTTGTCCTCTTGTTTCACCGACTTCCCAATCTGCTTTTCTTCCTGCTTCTCTGCCTCTTTGAGTTTGCTCTGAGCACTAATGCTGTCAGCATTGTACATATGGTAGGTTTTCATAACCTGCGGAAGATACACAACAGTCATATAGCATAACAGTGCCATTTGCTGAGGAAGAAATAGGTTTATCTAACCAGTAAGCCAGGCATGCAGAAACTTTGCCTTACACTATCATCCGCATGACCGAGTCTCAGGGTAGTAGAGTTATACATACACCTGTAAAGCTCAGCAGTTAGCAAAGAGGAGGAAAAAAATCCTAAGAAAGAAGTCACATGCTACAACACAGGGACATTATTTGCATTTGGTCAGACATACTCCAAAAATTTTAAGTTTCTTTAACATAGCTATTTCACAATAGCTGCCCATCATGTTTGTATTAAATGCAAGATACCATACTAGATAAAGCCATTTGGACAGTGACCAGCAAGTCAGATCTGGTTGCCTGTTGGGAGTCAGAAATATCTAAACCGGCAAAATACTCAGGAAAAAAAAAAAAAATCACATCTCAAAAAAGCATGCCAGAGGATGCCCGAATGAAAGCGTGGCTCCCAAAGGGGATTTGAAATCAAAGCAGATTATTTTGCAGCTGCTTCTTTGTTTAATTTTGGCACATTCCTTCTTGTACACTTGAATGGAGGAATTATAAAAACTCAAAAATGTAGAAATTATATCTTGCCTTCTTACTATTTAAAGAATGTTTTTTTGCCGAAGTTGGAAAAATGATAGCTTTTCAGCACCAGGTAAGATTTCAGAAGGGATGTCTATCAGTCTGGCATCCAGATGAATCAGTCATTTAAATATTACAGGTCTCAAGTAACTATATGCAAATCAGTAGTCTGCCCATAACAGCTGCAAAAGTAACTCATGTTCAATATGTTTAAATCAAATTTGATATGAAAAAGTACTTCTGTTCACCTTATGTAACAAAAATATCAATAAACGCGTGGTTCTTTCGGAGGGCTCAGGAGAGCTGGAACTCGTACTATATGGACAGCTTTTTACGATAGCACATATTTTTTTATAAACAAACATAGATAAATATTCTCCCCGAAGGGACACAAACAAAAACTTTTTTATTATTCATTTCAGAGGACATTCACATTTAGTTTTGTTTTAAGACAACAGAACAAAAATCCCAAAGGGAATCATACATAAACTGGCTTTCCTATCCACAGTTAGAAAACAACTCAATTCACACACACGGACACCAAAGTGAGCACTTACGCTATAATTTTGATGGGGGCCAATAAACGCACAATTGCGTAAAGACATCCCAATAGTGTAGTTCCAGCTTAAATAAAGATCCCACTTGCAAATCAGTTGATTTATTTAGCATGCAAAGCCATTTCTACCTATTTCACCTCAGCTTGAACTGTAACATAATTTTACTTAACTAGGATGTATGCTCTCTCCTCATGCAGTGATCAGCAGAGGTTCTCAGATATAAAGAGAAGTTGTATTTAAACATGAAAGAGCATGTGAATGTAGCCAGTATTAAAGAGAGACTTTCTGAATAATTTAAACACACACTTTCAGCTACTGCATATGCTTAGACTATAAAGCAGCCATTTACAATAATAGATGCAAAGTAGTTTCTTTTCCTCTGTCACTGAAAGTAGAACTGGCAGAAAGCAAGAGAAGCAGGAAAAAAAAAAATCACAATTTTAATGACTTCACCCTGCTGACAATGCCACATTGGCAACCACAAACACTGCCTGCTCCATGTTTGGCAATGAGGTTACTGTTGACTCACTAGTGCCTGCTGGGGTCAACAGCAAAGTCAAGGACTTTGGTTGCACAGGACAATTCAGGACAAAGGCCTCATAGGGGAAAATCTTCTGTATTTTATCAATGTAGGGGAACTGAAAACTGTGTCCATTTTCATGGACGTCCATCTACCCTGGAAACAGAGATACTGTCAATCCTTTACTCAAAATCCCCACCCCTCCCCAAAACATTGCTGAAACAGATTGCACCCCCACCCCAAATCATTTCTGCAGTAGGCAAACCTGATGAGCCACCTTCATTTCCAAAGTAAATTCTGTCTTTCTGGAAGAAGAGTAAAAAATGCAGTTTGCTCATACTATTGTAAACAAAAGCAGTACTGACAACTGCAGGGACAGTACATCACACCCCAGTTTAGCTTTACAGTGCCTCCAGCTTCCACCATACTGCTACTTCCCAGTCATTCTTGCCATTGCTGTCAAGCAACACAAAGTGTCTTTGTCCACTGAGAAGATTCATTAAAACTAAACATTATAATGCAGAAAAGGAGGGAAATCAAACTGGGTTAACAATCTAACCTCCTAAAATGCCATTTTCCAACTCATCAGGGCAGAATTATGCCCAGTGTCATGCAGCAGCTAGAGGCTGGAAGACAGTACTGAAAAATCCTACTTTAGCTATTGCAGCAGCTAGAACTTTGGAGCATGATGAATTCTCTTTGTCTACTCTTGAGCTCCCTTCTTTTTCTAAAAGATTAGCCTGAACATCTAGCTTCAATGCTCTATCATAACAATTCCCTTCTATATATTTGGTTGACACAGGAAATTTCAGGGAAATCTCTCTGATGCTCTAGCATTGTTATCAATACCTAAATTCATCACAAGGTTGACATGCCCTTCAGACTTCAGGCGCATCTCTGGATCATCTTTGTCAAGGAACGAAAGAGAGAACTTGTACTTCAACGCAACGACCCAATGGATCATTAAGGAATGAGAAAAGAAAAGACATTTTGAGCAACGAAGCCACGGAAAAAAATCACGCGTAGGTTCTGCTTTTAACACAGAACCAATTCACTAAGCTGCTGAAGGAGGCTTTTCCATTCACCTATGTGAGAAGAAAAATCCCCAAGCAGCCTATGAACTTCAACGAACACATTCCTCCTCTTTCCCGAGGCAATGCTCTTTCTTGGTGCCTCCAATGGATATACTGAGTAGCAAAAAGCACAGCTGGAAGGCTATTACTCTAAAGGGAGCTGTTTTGCTAGAAGAGCAGAGGAACAAATAAACACAGTGGGTTTTTGCTCCCCACTGAAGTTGTATGCTTTCTTTTGTATGTTCATATCCAGAAGTGGACTACACAAAACCACTATGCTTCTCTACTTCAAGCACGCAGTAATCTGGCTGAAAATTTTTACTGTATTTGGAAATAATTCTAAACACCTCTCTCTCTCTCTCTCTCCCCCCATCTCCCTCTCTCTATATTTATTTATTTAACAACACTGCAGCTAGTAGAAGGTATGTGTTAACTTGAGATATTTAGGAAGTGGAGCCAACACTTACAGAGCTGAAACAGAATATAAAAATGGAGTGAAAAAGTGAGATTTATGGTACTATATAGACTGGTAAACACAAACTGCCTCAAATCACAAGGACCGCAGACATTTATCAGTCTTAGCGCTTAGTCTCTGCTGTAATAGCAGGCTGGGAGAAGTCAAACACTTCTTCCTTCTGTCTGAAAAGAGGCCAAGAAGTCTGTTTGATTTACCGTATAGAGTTCATTCAGGACCTTCATCAAGTCTTCCTGGAGCTGCAGTCCCACTTCCTTACTCTGAAACAAAATAGAGAAATGAAAGTTAATTGGGGAAGACAGGAAAGAGGTAAAGGAAGTGAGCATGCTCCACATCTACAAATAATTTAGACTTAATTAAGCACCATTATTTATGCTAGCAAATCCAATAACTGCTCAGCCAACAGCCACTTATGGTCAAATTGCACAAACTGTATTAATAAAGTGAAATGTTATACGTACACAGCCAAGCAAGCCTTAGAGTATGGAGACAGGGAAATTTCCAGCAAACATGAAGTTTTCAACGTTACAAGGCTAGACACAAATAGAGAGTCTGATATCTTACTCTGTGATATTATAACAGTTTGGCATACACTAGCATATGGAAGCTGAAGAAATGCAGGATAAGAAAGCCAACAGTAATGATATCCCTTTATTTAACACTGTATCACAACACAACAGGCAATACTTCAATTTTCCTGATGTATAAACTAAGTGACAAAGGCTCAGCGATGGTGTCACCACAAAGCAGGGCTGTTATATGCCAAAGGTTTTGTTCCATAGCATAATAAATAAATATAATTGTGCAGGTGTAAGTGCCATTACACTGCATTTTACCCCATCCCTTTTCAAAGACAGATAGGAAGGAAAGTAAAGGCCCTCAGTTCACAGCAGATAAAACCCAAGTAAGGTAGGCCCTTGACAAAACCAGACTCTGCAGGTTGTGATGACAGACAACCACCACCTCCTTTATGCTCACGTCTCCACATGGTAGTATTGCTACTCTTTTCTTTGGCCTTCCATCCCGCTCACAGCCCTTCAGTACGGCCTTCCTGCCCCTCCTGTCCTTACTCCTTGTCCCTCAGCCACAAGCACGTCACGGGTTGCCAGTGCCACCCCCTAACAACATTGACTCCGTACAAAATGAAGTTGCTCAACTGGGGTCCTGCGAGTGTTCAAGTCTAAGGAGACCCATCAAGGGGGGAAACCGTACTGCAGTGTCTGCCAGCTCTTGCTTCATAAGCCCCATGCCCAGAGTAGAAAAAAAAACCAGTAAATCCATTCCACTGATTTACTAACCATGGCAGTCACTCTTTTGCCTGGATACCGAAAAGAAAATAGCTTGCTGAAGAAGTAGGGTTTGTTAAAGAGAAGTCTGAAGAACAACCCTAGAAGATCTGCATGCAGGGAGATGTGCTCCTAAACAGTTCTTTCTGCCTGTTGTTATTGAAGGAGACAAGCTTTGACCCACCATAGTTTCTATTGTTCTACTGTATTTGAAAGAGTATACAGAACCCTTGGTTTATTTGAGCGCAGTGTTAATGCCCAAAAGTTCTCTTCCCCCCACCATACAACAGTAACCTGCTACGACCTATAACATCTTTTTGCAGATGTTCTTTTGCTTATGTATTTCATCACCATAGCTACAAAAAGAACCTCCACTTCAAAATTAATAAAAAAATTACTTTGACAAGGCTTTACATCCATGCATTCAACAGTCAATTCTTCCCACTTCCATTCAAACTATGAATTCAGATATGGGATCTACCTCAACAGACAAAGCAATCAGCTATTTTTAAACTACAAAGACTACAATGCAATTTAACTGTATCACCGCAAAGCGCACTCTCTCAGGGGACGCTTGCATTAGTGAGCTGCCTAATCAAACCTAAGGCTGTATGAACTTGTTTCTTCTCTAAGAAACAGCAGAATGAAGAAAAATAAGGATTAGCTGCAGACAGATACGATTGGTTGTCAAAACCGGCTGAGACCCAAACTAGCCTGCAGCCAAGTGCAAGATTTTAAAAAATATATTTAAAATCCCTGCTAGGTGACAGGCAGCCCGCATTATACAGCGGTTGCGTCCAAGTGCAATGTAGAAAAGAGGCAAACATTTGGCTTTAGCCAAACAGAGAAGTAGGGAACGGATAGGTCTCTGTTTTTCTTCAAAGACTACCAGAATGCCAAAGAGTCATATCCATAATTGCCACCGGATGACACTTCTGTATGCAAAGCCCTCTTTGAAGAGACATTTCTGCATGCAACAACACTTGTATGCAAAGCAGGGGAAAGCAGCTTCCTTACCCAGCGAGTTCAATGGTACTATTAATCTTCACTTGATTAGAGACAGGGTTTCATGCTGTAACTGATTCATATTCTGAAGAGCTTCCATGAGAAAATTTGTGAGATGCAGATACACAGAATCACAGAAAACGTGAGCAAAAAGCAGAGTCAGCAAGCATTTAATGACACTCCTTGCAAAGCAGCAGAACAGTCCCAGGTTCCTCCTGTGCCTTCTCCATCCGGCAGTAAGCAGCACCGCCGTGCACCTACTGCTTTGCTACACACCTAACAAATCCTCTTTTTCTACAGCAGAAGGGTAAACGATCAAGAAAACCCTCTGTACTTGTGATACAATTTACATCTTTTAGCCTACAGTACTTAAGAGATTAAAGCCAATAAAGTTACAATTAGACCCAAACAGATGTTTCGTTTCTTTGCTGTTGAAGACTCCAAGAAGAAGAGAGCTCTCAGCTATTATCCTGTTTATTTGAACAGGCTGCTGAAACGATTTTAACTTACTGCGGTGACCCCTGTTCCCCACGGCGCACGTCATGGCGCTGGCTAACCGTCCCGAAAGGGCACGCCGCGCTGAGACGGAGCCGGCTAACGATCGCTGCCTTGCGGCAAGCGGCCAGGACCGCCACAGCTCCTCAAGGGACGAGGACTTCTGGACTCGGCGTCAGACATCGCCCTTCGCCACGAAGGGAGGGGAGGGCAGGGCAAGAGAGGGAGACACACACCAATAATTGTTCATGAAGCCACGCACCCAGCAAAAACACAACTGAAGGGGGAAAAACCTCCCCCAACCTCCACTAATTTAAGGATAATTAGCAACTATTTATTACATGAAACACGGTACAGCCCCTACGAGGGGAAGGGGTCGTTGAGTCAGTCTCGTTAGCTGTGCACCAAAACGGGGGGAAGGGGGGAGAGAAGTACAACACAAAGCTGACTTTGTTTGTTATCAGACAAAACGTTTCTCTCAGCTTGGCAGAAGAGGACGGATCGCGTGAACGGCTCTAGACAGCGACGGGGGTGAAGTCTGTCCTAGAGATCCCCGTGGCCACCTCTGCCACGCAGGCCCGGGGCTCAGCAGCAGCAGCAGCCGCAGCCGCTGCCCCCTCGGAAGCAAACAAAACACCCCAAACAACTGCACACGCTGTCCAGAGGCTAAGGAGGCTTTCCCCACATTTTCCCACTAATTAGCAAGCGTGAATGTATCTACTGCCACTTATACCAAGAGCAACTTCATCCACTTTACAGATTTTATTCACTCACTACGCAGGCAGGCAGCATCGCCGCACTGCTAACCCGCAGGGCGCGCGGGTTCGGTCATACAGCACCTGCGGGCCGGGCAGCTTTCACAGACTCAAACTGTTCCCCGGGGGCCAGACACAACCTCTGAAAAAATAAACCTCAGACACAAGCTCCGAAAAAAAGCTGATGATTCCCGTCTCAGAGGTGTTCTGCAGTAACAATTTCCACATTTCTCCCCTCACTGAAAGCAGAAGAAAGCCCAAGCTGCCGCTCACCATCGCAGCGATACGGCCCGCAAGGGTTTTCTGCCTGCCTTTTTCTCAGCCTCCGAGACGATTCATGAAACTGACTGGCTGCGTCTGTTTTAAACGCCCTGAGCACTGAACTTTTCACTCAGAAAGAGCTTTTCGGCAGCATGCCTCACTGCCGCTGAGACTGCCTGGGCCGGACCAGTCATTCCCCTTCCACCCAGCTCTTTGCAGCCCATGCGTTTATTCCTTGCATAAAACTGCTCATTCACTGTACAAACTGCTGAAGCATCAATTATGCAGAGGCAGATTAAAATGCATATTTGAATGCGTACTCAGCTGCATATTCAGGTTGAAGAAGAAAAGAAGAAATGTAAACAGCAAACTGTCAAAACACACAATTCTTTGTGCTCCCAAACAAGCTCTGAAGGAAGAAGTTGCCAGATTGCTGGACTGGAAAAAAGGTACATTAAGACGAAGGTAAGATAGATCAAAGGTGTCATGAAAACAAGAGCCATTTCTAGAGCTAAGCAATGAACACAGTACAGATTTCACCAAAACAGATTTAGGAAAAAATAAGTTCAACTAGCTGAGCCTAGTAAGTGAAAATATATAGGAGGAAGTAGAACAGGTAGCTTGGGAAAGTCAAAAGAAAATGCCTTAAGCTTTAGCAAAAAAGTTGTTGCTCAAGTGTTTTAGAGAATGGAGACCTAACGCACAGAGAGAACCTCTCTGAGGTCCCAGACAGTTTGAATTACACCCAGATTAGAGGCTGCTCATCTTAACCTTTGCCATAAACGCATAAGGGATTTCAAGATCCTGCTAGAATATGATGCGGATTTATGAATAGAATACGTGTCAAGGAAAAACAGCAACGCAGTCTCTGCGGTTGCAAACATCTCCAGGTATCAATTCTACGCAGGCAGAAACCTGATTCAGACCTGACTTGGCCTTGTATCCCAGAAAACGCAAACGGAGATCCTTTCTCCCGTTGGAAAGGCTGATCCCTTACAGCATCACCTTTGAGATGAAGCAGAGTTCTGAAAGAGCAATAAATAAAAGCAAAAGAAAATTTAGAAATTTTATTATCTCTGCCTAGCTGTATCTGTAACTGGAGCATATCTGTATATCCCTTAAAAAAGCCTGAGGAATGGCTTATGCCACCAAAAGCTTAATCGATTGGCTCAAATAATAAACATGGGGGTGGATGGAAGATGTTACCTGTCCCCACAAAGCTTGCCTCCTCCTTATCCCATCACAGCTACAACACTTGCCTTCTTGAGCTGGGAGGTTATCTGGTTTGATGTGTATCATTAATTCTTCTTGGAAGATGGCACCATATGGCGACCATGGGCTCCTGAGGGTCGGGAAGGGGGAGAGCAGGGTGCCAGCACGACACCAATGCGTGCTGCAGCAAGCGCACGCGCTGATGGTAGCGATACACACACACTCCCCTTTCTTTGCAAATCAGGA